GTTATGGAGGTAAGGCAATAAATAGGCCATAGTGCAAAATAATTACAATTTAGTATTAACACTGCAATGATAGATGTGCAAGAGATTATGTGCAAATAGAGATACTGGGGTGCAAATGAGCAAAATAAATAACAATATGGGGATGAGGTAGTTGGGTGGGCTAATTTCAGATGGGCTGTGTACAGGTGCAGTAATCGGTAAGGTGCTCTGACAACTGATGCTTAAAGTTAGTGAGGGAGATAAGAGTCTCCAGCTTCAGAGATTTTTGCAGTTCGTTCCAGTTATTGGCAGCAGAGAACAGGAAGGAATGGCAGCCAAAGGAGGTGTTGGCTTTGGGGATGACCAGTGAGATATACCTGCTGGAGCGCATACTACGGGTGGGTGTTGCTATGGTGACCAATGAGCTAAGATAAGACGAGATTTGCCTAGCAGTGATTTATAGATGACCTGGAGCCAGTGGGTTTGGCGACGAATATGTAGTGAGGACCAGCCAACAAGAGCGTACAGGTCACAGTGGTGGGTAGTATATGGGGCTTTGGTGACAAAACGGATGGCACTGTGATAGACTACATCCAATTTGCTGAGTAGAGTGTTGGAGGCTATTTTGTAAATTATATCGCCAAAGTCAAGGATCGGTAGGATAATCAGTTTAACGAGGACATGTTTGGCAGCATGAGTGAAGGAGGCTTTGTTACGAAATAGGAAGCCGATTCTAGATTTAACTTTGGATTGGAGATGCTTAATGTGAGTCTGGAAGGATAGTTTACAGTCTAACCAGACACCTTGTTATTTGTAATTGTCCACATATTCTAGGTCAGACCCGCCGAGAGTAGTGATTCTGGTCGGGTGGGCGGGTGCCAGCAGCGTTCGATTGAAGAGCATGCATTTAGTTTTACTAGTGTTTAAGAGCAGTTGGAGGCTACGGAAGGAGTGTTGTATGGCATTGAAGCTCGTTTGGAGGTTTGTTAACACAGTGTCCAATGAAGGGCCAGATGTATACAAAATGGTGTCGTCTGCGTAGAGGTGGATCTGAATTGAACCCTGTGGCACCCCCATAGAGACTGCCATAGGTCCAGACAACAGGCCCTCCGATTTGACACATTGAACTCTATCTGAGAAGTAGTTGGTGAACCAGGCGAGGCAGTCATTTGAGAAACCAAGGCTATTTAGTCTGCCAATAAGAATGCGGTGGTTGACAGAGTCGAAAGCCTTGGCCAGGTCGATGAAGATGGCTGCACAGTACTGTCTATTATCGATCGCGGTTATAATATCGTTTAGGACCTTGAGCGTGGCTGAGGTTGAAATGCTCGATTATTGTAGATTTATCGGTGGTGATAGTGTTTCCTAGCCTCAGTGCAGTGGGCAGCTGGGAGGAGGTGCTCTTATTCTCCATGGACTTTACAGTGTCCCAAAACTTTTGGAGTTAGTGCTACAGGATGCACATTTCTGTTTGAAAAAGCTAGCCTTTGCTTTCCTAACTGCTTGTGTATATTGGTTCCTAACTTCCCTGAAAAGTAGCATATCGCGGGGGCTATTCGATGCTAATGCAGTACGCCACAGGATGTTTTTGTGCTGGTCAAGGGCAGTCAAGTCTGAGGAGAACCTGGGCTATATCTGTTCTTAGTTCTGCATTTTTTGAATGGGGCATGCTTATTTAAGATTGAGAGGAAAGCACTTTTAAAGAACAACCAGGCATCCTCTACTGACGGAATGAGATCGATATCCATCCAGGATACCTGGGCTAGGTCAATTAGGAAGGCCTCCTCGCTAAAGTGTTTTAGGGAGCGTTTGACAGTGATGAGGGGTGGTTGTTTGACCGCGGACCCGTTACGGACGCAGGCAATAAGGCAGTGATCGCTGAGATCCTGGTTGAAGACAGCGGAGGTGTATTTAGAGGGTAAGTTAGTCAGGATGATATCTATGAGGGTGCCCATGTTTACGGATTTAGGGTTGTACCTGGTAGGTTCCTTGATAATTTGTGTGAGATTGAGGGCATCTAGTTTGGATTGTAGGATGGCCGGGGTGTTGAGCATATCCCAGTTTAGGTCACCAAGCAGTACGAACTCTGAGGATAGATGGGGGGCAATCAATTCACATATGGTGTCCAGGGCACAGCTGGGGGCTGAGGGGGGTCTGTAGCAAGCGGCAACAGTGAGAGACTTATTTCTGGAAAGGTGGATTTTTGGAAGTAGGAGCTCAAACTGTTTGGGCTTAGACCTGGATAGTATGATAGAGGATTGCCTCTTATCCACTCGTTGTCCCCTTATGCCATAGTTTGTACATCTCAATTGTCAGTAGAAACCACATTTGTTTAAGCAAGTCAGCCATATCAGCAATGTTTTTTTTAAAGGCAGTAAATGAGGCTGAATGAACTGTTTCGCTGCCAGAGAAGACTTTGCTGATAGCCAGGTGTAGCAGTGGTAAGGTGTTGGGACTGCTGTTGGGACTCTGCTGTTGGGACAGCTTCATGTAGGCACTGTTTGTCACTGTTATATTGCAATTATTGTATTGTTTAGTGTTTTGTTGTGTAGTGGCTTTGCTGGCATGCATCTAAAAAAATTGGGGGAGTTTGCCCCACCAAGATTTACATGCTAAAATCGCCACTGATTAGCTATATCACAGAATCCCTAGTGTGAGATTTTTCTTTCTTTTGATACACTCAGTATGTGTTGATGCAAGTTATTGAAGCGACGGAATTGAGACTTATTACATGAATAATTGAGACAAATCTTATGAGTGATATCGTATATGAAGATTATGTCTTTGTTAAATGTTTTTCATGAAGAAATGGAATGTTGTTTATGTTAGTATCAAAAGGGAATGTTTTAGTGTAACGTCACATACAACAGACAGGAAGTGTGTTGTAGACAGGGGAGACTGGTGATTGGCCAGAAGAGGGAGCATCTTTTTGCATTGTTTATAAATAGGGGTTAAACGAAGAAGAAAGTCAGAACGGCCATGACAATCTGAGACGCCGTTCTCCGGACACCGCGGGTCTGTAACTTATGCTGTAACCTTGTGATATTAATAAAAGCCTCTAAATCATTGTGCAGCATAAGCGGACTCTTTGTTGACAGCAATAATTGCCACCATTCACCCGATACGACAGTGACTTTCAGTAATCTACATGCATAAATATGGTTTGTGTGTATGTGTGTGTGTGTGTGTGTGTGTGTGTGTGTGTGTGTGTTTTACGTCAATGCCTGTCTGGGGTCATTACCAGATAGTTACATCACAGGTGGGAAATCCCCCGGCCAGCTCCATGCCACACACCTGTCTTCACTATAGGTCTGCAATCTGGCCATAGATCTACATTCATAACCGTCTGTACAGCGCCACCTGGGGTTCGCAATGAACTTGTAGGCTATTGTGAGACAATTCAATATTGGAATCAAATGCTATCACTTTGAAACCTGCATTTTACTTGTTTCATAAGTATACATGATTATGTATCAGAGGATGGGACTCTGTAAATACTGAAACATTGAATCAAGTCTAAGAACCTTACCTTCATGAGCAAAGTAACTACAGTACTTTTATTTTGAAAATCCGAGACATGCGACACAGGAAGGAAGTTCCGCAGATCGAAGGACGACTGGTGGAGAATCGCTGTCACGACAGGCAAGTGGTGTTTATTTTGACGTTTTATGTTGTCATTTTAACTTATTTAGATAATGTCTATCATGCTGTTGATATATTTGAGAATTGCAAAAAATATTTGGACAATATGGCTATCTTTCTAACTATGCAATCGATTAAAATACACCATTATTGCCAAGTCAAACATAAACAGCTTCGGTCCATTGCTAGGTTTACATCACCGTTAGCTAGCTGTTTGTTTACGTTATGCGACAAACGTAGTTAGCTACCCACCAACATTTCTTAGCTGCCATTAGGATTGTTCGATGTATGATAATCGCCATTGTAACCAAGTGGTGTTTGATACGACTTCTTATACAGCTAGATAACATCTAGCTACGCTAGCTGGCTTGATACTGTTAATGTTGTTGTGGATATGGCTAGTTAGCTTAGCTAGCTAGGGTAGCTAACTTGATATTTTCTAACATAGCTGTTATCAGAGCTTTGTTGTGAGTTTAGTAAGTAGCAAGAACACAGTCAGCTGGCTAGATTGTTAGTCTTTAGCTAGCTACGTGACTTGACTCAAACAAAGTGTCAGCAAACGATTTGGCTAGTTATCCTACCGTGCTAACCCTGTTTTGCAGTCGAATGTCATTGGTTGAGGGCTTGAGGCTATGGACAGGGCCTATTAGCTTCAGCGAGCAAACCGGTTCCAAAAGTAGCCGGTTTTTTACATTATGTGTAGCTACGTAGCTATTTTTTTATTTGTCAGATAAAAAATTGAAAACAAAAGTTTAGATATTTTATGACGAGAAGAGGAAAGTTGCAAAGTAATGTTTTTCAAATGTATACAGCCAGGGATGCCTTGGATAATGATGTGTCAATGAGACCAAAACATTCAGGCCTAACAACAGTGATCTCCACTTGTTGACCTAGAATAGATTGGTCTTCTTTTATATTTTCTGTTGCCTCTCAATGATTATGAATACTGTGCCATTGCACACTTTAGGCTCTAGCAAATCTGATTCAACTAATAAAGGATTTTGTTGACCAGTTAGGCTAAATCAGTTATGCTAGTGCTAGTAGTGAAACAACTGTAGAGGTCATGGGAGGATTGCAAGATGTTGAGCTATTGTTTGTGACCTTGTTCAGTGGTTCTCAAACCTCTCCTCTGGGACCACTAGCTGTTCTATGTGTTTTATCTATTCCAAAGCTAGCGCACCTGATTCAACCTGTCAACTAATCATCAAGCCCTTGACTAGGTGAATCAGTTGAGGTAGTTCAGGGCTACAACAAACTTGTGAAATGTCTGGTGGTCCCTGGGGAGAGGTTTGAGAACCAATGACCTAGGCCTAGTTCCCTTGGTTATGTGTATTCTCTCTCCCAGGTGGTAGTGAATGCGGTAGAGTCCCAGTCTCTGAGCTTGTTATTGCTCAGGTTCAGACGGTATGGAGCAGTGTGCGTGTGTGGAGCGGGAGCTGGAGAAGGTGCTCCATAGGTTTGTCATGTACGGACACCAGTCAGAGGAACGGCTGGACGAACTACTACGCAGCGTCTGTGAGCTACGGGGACAGCTGGTCACATTCGGTAAGGCCAAGCCACCTCCACGCTCTAGTTTAGAAGTAGTGTCCGCTCCAGTCATCCAGTCATTTGCAGGTGCATGGTACAAAATTAAAGAATAATAGATTCCTGCACACACTGTTAAAGGCCCCATATTTGAGGAATTTGATGCAAGAGTATAACTAAAGCACGGAACAATATGCAATTAAGTTATTTAAACAATTTGGCCCTAGAGAAATTAAACATTGCTTTGCTCCGGTTGCGTGCCATGACTCATGAGTGTTCAGGCACAGAAGTGATTCATAGGTTTCTTAATGTACATTTCAACAAGACTGCTTTTAGCCTTTTAAACCTTTAATGTTATGACTTGTTTTAACCTGATTGCTCTCTTCTTCAGAGCAGAGACATATATTTAGGGAGTTGGGCCAACTTTTAGGATCTTCTGTAATGTTCTACCTTTCCTCTCTTTAATATTGTTCTAATTCTAGACATTCAGTTACATAGCATTGTTGAAATATTCCCATGTAATGGCAATGGGGTGCTAACCATATAAATATGTAAGGGAGAATCAACGAGGGGCTATGCGTTCTCTGGAAAATAATGAACGATGTGGAACTAACCTTCCACAGATTTGCGTTATTTACCAGAGAACGCATAGTGGCCCGAGTTGATTATCCCTTTTATACCATGGCTATAATTTACCACATTTACCACTAGAAATGTGTTCATTTACCACTAGATATGTGTTCATTTACCACTAGAAATGTGTTCATTTACCACTAGAAATGTGTTCATTTGCCGGTGGAAATGTGTTCAACATCCACTGAAGTAGCTAGTTGCCTTGGTAACCAAACAAACAGACTTGCTAGTTTAGCTAACCAAACCGCCAGTCCTAGCTTGCTATTACGAAAATCGAATTCAACAATGCCAATAATCTTTTCAATCCGACTTTTGCTTTCAAAAGCAGCTCGAACATGTAAGAATGAACTATAGCCATTGAATTCTACCGCTCAAGAATGCTCTTCAAGCCATTCAGAAATGAGTATTCAACGATGCCATGGTATAAGTCATTATATTTCTATGGCGCCAACATGGCTGCCATAGAATTTTGTGTCATGTCAATGCAGAACCCTTCAATGTACCAACTCTTCTAAATAATGGCTCTCTTTCAGGGGTACAAGATGCAGATCTGTCGGTGCTATCTCAGACGATGGCCCAGTGCTGTAAGAACATTAAAGAAACGGTACAGCTGCTGGCCTCCAGACACAAGGACATCCACGGCAGTGTCTCCAAAGTCGGCAAAGCTATCGACAGGGTAAGAGTTTCCCAATAAATGCTTTAATTATAGGATCTTTACATTTTAGAAAATATAAATGTTAACACAACTTCCTTGTGGTTGAAGCCAATATTATTGGAAAATAAATCAGGATAAAGAAAAAAATTACCTTAAGCACACAAGGGAGAAATTTCAGCAGATTCTGGGTGTTTTATTTCCACTTATACTTTGGCTGTTTCCTGGTTGTGTTGCTGTAGAACTTTGATGCAGAGGTGAGTGCAGTAGTGGCAGAGACAGTGTGGGACTCACCTGAGAGACAGAAGTACTTGAGTGAGACCATCGTGGAACACCTGTACAGACAAGGCATGCTGAGCGTGGCAGAAGACCTATGTCAGGTAAACAGAACAACTGAGATGAAACAAAAGCCTGCACACCCTGTTGGTCCCCAGAACCAGAATTGAAGAACTTTGGTGTATTTCATATGTATTAACTTCTCTGTTGTGTGTGTGTGTGTCCCAGGAGTCTGGAGTAGTGATTGACATGAGTATGAAGCAGCCGTTCTTGGAACTCAACAGGATCCTGGAGGCTTTGAGGATGCAGGACCTCAGACCAGCACTAGAGTATGTACTGTATCTCCTCTCTGTTATATACTGACCTCAGACCAGCACTAGAGTATGTACTGTACCTCCTCTATCGCCTCTCTGTTATATACTGACCTCAGACCAGCACTACAGTATGTACTGTACCTCCTCTCTATCTCCTCTCTGTTATATACTGACCTCAGACCAGCACTACAGTATGTACTGTACCTCCTCTCTATCTCCTCTCTGTTATATACTGACCTCAGACCAGCACTACAGTATGTACTGTATCTCCTCTCTGTTATATACTGACCTCAGACCAGCACTACAGTATGTACTGTTCCTCCTCTATCTCCTCTCTGTTATATACTGACCTCAGACCAGCACTACAGTATGTACTGTACCTCCTCTCTATCTCCTCTCTGTTATATACTGACCTCAGACCAGCACTACAGTATGTACTGTTCCTCCTCTATCTCCTCTCTGTTATATACTGACCTCAGACCAGCACTACAGTATGTACTGTTCCTCCTCCATCTCCTCTCTGTTATATACTGACCTCAGACCAGCACTACAGTATGTACTGTACCTCCTATCTCCTCTCTGTTATATACTGATCTCAGACCAGCACTACAGTATGTACTGTACCTCCTCTCTATCTCCTCTCTGTTATATACTGACCTCAGACCAGCACTACAGTATGTACTGTACCTCCTCTCTATCTCTTCTCTGTTATATACTGACCTCAGACCAGCACTACAGTATGTACTGTACCTCCTCTCTATCTCCTCTCTGTTATATACTGACCTCAGACCAGCACTACAGTATGTACTGTTCCTCCTCTATCTCCTCTCTGTTATATACTGACCTCAGACCAGCACTACAGTATGTACTGTACCTCCTCTCTATCTCCTCTCTGTTATATACTGACCTCAGACCAGCACTACAGTATGTACTGTACCTCCTCTCTATCTCCTATCTGTTATATACTGACCTCAGACCAGCACTAGAGTATGTACTGTACCTCCTCTATCTCCTCTCTGTTATATACTGACCTCAGACCAGCACTACAGTATGTACTGTACCTCCTCTATCTCCTCTCTGTTATATACTGACCTCAGACCAGCACTACAGTATGTACTGTACCTCCTCTCTATCTCCTCTCTGTTATATACTGACCTCAGACCAGCACTACAGTATGTACTGTACCTCCTCTATCTCCTCTCTGTTATATACTGACCTCAGACCAGCACTACAGTATGTACTGTACCTCCTATCTCCTCTCTGTTATATACTGACCTCAGACCAGCACTACAGTATGTACTGTACCTCCTCTATCTCTGTGTGGAGTTCAATGTGAATCAAACCCCTCTTCGATCATTTTGAGCCATTCAGTAACTGATTAACTTTAGAATAGTGAACACAATTGAGATCTGAAAGACTTGAAGACACCCAGTCAGGGTTGGGGTCAATGCCAGGGTTGAAGGTCAATTAAAATTTCGGTGGACTTCCTGAATTGATTGAATTGAAATTGAATTGAGCCCAACCCTGGGGTCTATTCACTAGGAGCCAAACAGAACCAAACTGAAGAAAACGGAAGGAAACGGGAGGGACCTACCTGAATTTGTCCAATAGCAATTCTTGTTTTCAGTTTGCAACTGTTTGCTATGGTGTGCACTAATGATTACAAGCGTCTCTCTCCCTGGCTCCAGGTGGGCGGTAACAAACCGGCAGCGCCTGCTGGACCTGAACAGTACCCTGGAGTTCAAGCTGCACCGCCTCTACTTCATCAGCCTGTTAAACGGAGGCATCACCAACCAGCTGGAGGCGCTACAGTACGCCAGGCACTTCCAGCCCTTCGCCTCACAGCACCAGAGAGGTAGGGGACACAGACAGCCTGGGCCCTGTTCAGGTCAGGAGGGTGGGACAGATATACATGTATAGTGTAGAGCAGATATATGGTGGTCTGAACGGAGACACTAACAGTCCTTCACCTCATAGCACCAGAGAGGTAGGGACAGAGACATACCCTGGCTGGAGCCTCCTGGTGGTCTTGAAGAGAGGTAGGGACAGAGACATACCTGGCTGGAGCCTCCTGGTGGTCTTGAAGAGAGCTAGGGACAGAGACATACCTGGCTGGAGCCTCCTGGTGGTCTTGAAGAGAGGTAGGGACAGAGACATACCTGGCTGGAGCCTCCTGGTGGTCTTGAAGAAAGGTAGGGACAGAGACATACCTGGCTGGAGCCTCCTGGTGGTCTTGAAGAGAGGTAGGGACAGAGACATACCTGGCTGGAGCCTCCTGGTGGTCTTGAAGAGAGGTAGGGACAGAGACATACCTGGCTGGAGCCTCCTGGTGGTCTTGAAGAGAGGTAGGGACAGAGACATACCTGGCTGGAGCCTCCTGGTGGTCTTGAAGAGAGGTAGGGACAGAGACATACCTGGCTGGAGCCTCCTGGTGGTCTTGAAGAGAGGTAGGGACAGAGACATACCTGGCTGGAGCCTCCTGGTGGTCTTGAAGAGAGGTAGGGACAGAGACACCTGGCTGGAGCCTCCTGGTACCTGGCTGGAGCCTCCTGGTGGTCTTGAAGAGAGGTAGGGACAGAGACATACCTGGCTGGAGCCTCCTGGTGGTCTTGAAGAGCTTTTTGACAGGGATCATGTTCGTTAGGCACCAAACGGAAGAAAATAAACTTGAAACAGGGAGGGACTACCTGTCCAATAAGAAACCCTCATTTTTGTTTTCACTGCAAAGCATTTTCCATTTCAATAACTTTCTTACAAGACTTCATAGCTTCTTTCTCTTACCAGCTGACTAACTGCTCACCATACTCCTTCCTCCCTCCTTATTGACCACTGTCTCCTCTGACATCCTTCATGACCACTGTCTCCTCTCAGACATCCTTATTGACCACTGTCTCCTCTCAGACATCCTTCATGACCACTGTCTCCTCTCAGACATCCTTCATGACCACTGTCTCCTCTCAGACATCCTTATTGACCACTGTCTCCTCTCAGACATCCTTCATGACTACTGTCTCCTCTCAGACATCCTTCATGACTACTGTCTCCTCTCAGACATCTTTTATGACTACTGTCTCCTCTCAGACATCCTTCATGACTACTGTCTCCTCTCAGACATCCTTCATGACCACTGTCTCCTCTCAGACATCCTTCATGACCACTGTCTCCTCTCAGACATCCTTCATGACCACTGTCTCCTCTCAGACATCCTTCATGACTACTGTCTCCTCTCAGACATCCTTCATGACTACTGTCTCCTCTCAGACATCCTTCATGACTACTGTCTCCTCTCAGACATCCTTCATGACTACTTTCTCCTCTCCTCTGACATCCTTCCTCCATCCTTCATGACCACTGTCTCCTCTCCCCCCAGACATACTTAATAACAGTGTCTCCTCTCTCCCAGACATCCTTAATAACAGTGTCTCCTCTCCCCCAGACATCCTTAATAACAGTGTCTCCTCTCCCCCAGACATACTTAATAACAGTGTCTCCTCTCCCCCAGACATCCTTAATAACAGTGTCTCCTCTCTCCCAGACATACTTAATAACAGTGTCTCCTCTCCCCCAGACATTCTTAATAACAGTGTCTCCTCTCCCCCAGACATCCTTAATAACAGTGTCTCCTCTCCCCCAGACATCCTTAATAACAGTGTCTCCTCTCCCCCCAGAGATCCTTAATAACAGTGTCTCCTCTCCCCCAGACATCCTTAATAACAGTGTCTCCTCTCCCCCAGACATCCTTAATAACAGTGTCTCATCTCCCCCAGACATCCTTATTAACAGTGTCTCCTCTCCCCCAGACATCCTTAATAACAGTGTCTCCTCTCCCCCAGACATTCTTAATAACAGTGTCTCCTCTCCCCCAGACATCCAGATCCTCATGGGTAGTCTGGTGTACCTGCGGCACGGCATAGAGAACTCTCCCTACCGCTCGCTGCTAGAGACCAACCAGTGGGCTGAGATCTGTAACAGCTTCACCAGGGACGCTTGCTCTCTGCTGGGGCTTTCTGTAGAGTCACCTCTCAGTGTCAGGTTAGACACACACACACACACACACACACACACACGGCAGTGAGTATGACGCTGATAGTAAGAATCCTTTCAATGCTCTTGTCTTTGTTTTTCACTGCAGTATGTATCTGTGATTTCCATGTCTGTTTCTCTGTGTTGAATGTTATTCTCTGTCAGTTTTGCGTCAGGCTGCATGGCTCTGCCAGTCCTGATGAACATCAAACAGGTGATCGAACAGAGACAATGTAGCGGAGTCTGGACACACAAGGACGAGCTGCCTGTAAGTCTCCCTCTTTATGCTCTCTCTGCTATTCTCTCACGACTTTCTCTGGGTGGTGAATCCTCAGAGTATTCATAACATCTATAATACTATAACCATTTAAATGGATTATTAATGAAGGTTGTCATAGAAGGGTAACGGTCCTGTCTCCTCTCCCTCCAGATTGAGATAGACCTGGGGAAGAAGTGCTGGTACCACTCTGTGTTCGCCTGTCCCATCCTCAGGCAGCAGACGTCAGAGAGCAACCCTCCCATGAAGCTCATCTGTGGACACGTCATCTCCAGAGATGCCCTCAACAAACTCACCAACGCTGGAAAGTAAGTCTGATCCAGGTTGACAGACAGGCAGGCACTCAACCATTGGCAGAGTCAGACCTGTGTAGCTCTGTGGTTAAACGCTCCTGCCTGCCTGTATATGTATGTGTCTAACTCTGTCCTCCATCTCCTCTCCTCAGACTGAAATGTCCCTACTGTCCCATGGAGCAGAACCCGTCAGATGCAAAGCAGATCTTCTTTTGATCCTGTTTCCTGAAACCCCCAGGCAGAGTGGAGCCCCTTGGAGCTAAAGTACCTAACTGGAGAGAGGGAGAGAGAGAGAGAGACGTTCATTTGCAACTGCCTGCAGAACTTATTATTAACTTATTTCTTTTGTGTGATGTTGATAGGGTATCAAGTTGAGTTGTAGAGTTTTTGGACGACTGCTCTGTTCCTTTTTCCTTTCCTCTGTCCATCCGTAGGCTTTCCTCAGTACACAGAATGGCTCAGTTGAATGGATGTTAGAGGGGTGATGTGACATTATGGTTTTTAGGAAGTTGTCTGATTTCAGGAGAGTATTTAAACTTCTATATTACAGAGGTAAAGCTAAGTGGCCTCTGATAAAGTATATACACATATAAATTGTATTGAGCGGTTGTGATGGGCTGATAGGTGGAGGTGACCGTGGTTACAGTTTGTGAATGGAACACTGATTGTAAAAAAATAAAATACAAAAAGTTAAACATTTCTCCTATTGCCGATGATGTAATAAAGGCCCTGATTGGTTGAAAGTCACTATGGGTTACAGTACATGTATCAGTGTGATGATCAACAGTTGTGATCGATGGAGAGGTCGAGGGTCAATTGGCTGATTGATTTTGCGACTGGCTCCAATAACAATTTTCCTGAAGAAGGAAGCCATCTTTCTTGTTCTGTGTAGGCCTATGTATTTAACAAAAACAAATATACTACTGTGAACTCTGCTTTTGTTTTTATTTATCATAGCTAGAATCAAGTCTCCTGTAAAATAGTGAAACCATAAGTAACATTTTATGAAATATAATTACGCCACAAAATAGCAACATCAGGATTGGATCCATGATCAAATCCTTCTCCTTGGTCCAAACTGATAGCTCCCAGCCCATGAAATGGTGATGTCAGCAAGGTCTTTACCAGCATCTCTTTAACAGCCAATATATCAACTCTGCACTGATCTCCAGTCAGAATGAATGATCGTAGCAGGTCTTTAAAAAACATGTTTTTATTATTTTATGGTTTGTGTTTGCACACGTTTGTTTTGTTTTTGGTTGATTTTACATTTGATTTACTGCTTTTGGTTGACAATCATTCATCTCCTTGCCCAGAATACATTAAGGTCTGTTATGGCTTCTTCCTTAGGTCCTTTTTCTTTTCCAGTAGTCAGAGTTATTGAGTTCTTGTATGATAGGTTTGGCTTTTACCTGCTTCTTTCTTTATTCAAGTTTTATTGTACATATTTATTCTCTAACATGTTTCATATTATACTTGCATCTTAAAATGGAATAAAACTTTATACTCCAACTCTGTTTATATGTTTGTGGAAAGTATCAGAGTTTGGTTGGTTTTTTGTTTGGTTAGCTGCAGAAAGATGTACCTTGTAGTTATTTTTTGGTGACAGTCAATATTAGCTACTGATATTGACTCACATGCTCTTCCTGCTGATGCCACCAGATGGCGACAATACCCCACTGTAGATGACTTCTACATACTAAACAACATGCCTTAGTTTTGGTTGCAGAAATACCCCCACCTGGGCTAGCTGTATTCACTTCACGCAAACAATTGTCTTCCTGTTGACTTCAACTAGTGTGTGGTATAGTATGTAATACTGTAAGTCACCTACATTGAATGCTTGACATCCAAGCTGTGTAGTTTGCATATGTAGAGTCCCTCCTACATACACAGCAGCAACACACAAGCATGAGTTAATATCTTGCATCATCCCACACTCAGAAGACAATCGCCCTCTCACAGTCACCTATGTGAGCAGTGGAGTTATATTAAGCCCTGGTTTATATAATGTTAGATGGAGGTTGGTGAGTCAGAGGGAGAGATGGTGTTTGGCTTGACCCCTCCCGGGAACACACACACGTCAACTCTAAAACAGGACTGTTTGCTAACTGTTTAAATCATGAACCTGGCAACTACACAAGACAAATATGCTTTAGAGTTGGTGGCAGGAGGGCTCAACAATGGCTGGGATGGAGTGAATGGAATGGTATCAGCCATTACTATGAGCCTGCCCTCCCCAATTAAGGTGCCACCAACAACCTGTGGTACACACAGATGTTTTTCCATCTGGGTTCTAAAAGAACACTGGGTGTTTGTGGGTGTCCAGCACTCAACTTCACAAAACCACCCAGGGCAGGCACTCCCCTTCTCTACAGCTTACCTTGACTGGCTTCCATAGAAATACCTGTTCCTTACGCTAACAAAGATCCTCTGTTTCCATCTAGGCTGACCTCTGACCTCTAATGTCCAAACTCAGGGTGGAGGTATGTAGGGGCCAGGGTTGGACAGGGGAGGGAGTGGTGGTGTGTTTCTGAGCCAGGGTTGTACAGGGGAGTGACAGGGTGTGTGTGTTGTGATAATTACAGTATAGTGTAGCATAGCATAGCACATTACAGTATAGTGTAGCATAGCATAGCACATTACAGTATAGTGTAGCATAGCATAGCACATTACAGTAGAGTGTAGCATAGCATAGCACATTACAGTATAGTGTAGCATAGCATAGCACATTACAGTATAGTGTAGCATAGCATAGCACATTACAGTATAGTGTAGCATAGCACAGTACATTACAGTATAGTGTAGCATAGCACAGTACATTACAGTATAGTGTAGCATAGCACAGTACCTTAGAGTATAGTGTAGCATAGCACAGTACAGTATAGTGTAGCATAGCACAGTACATTACAGTAGAGTGTAGCATAGCATAGTACATTACAGTATAGTGTATCATAGCACAGTACATTACAGTATAGTGTAGCATAGCACAGTACAGTATAGTGTAGCATAGCATAGTACATTACAGTAGAGTGTAGCATAGCACAGTACATTACAGTATAGTGTAGCATAGCATAGCACAGTACAGTATAGTGTAGCATAGCATAGCACATTACAGTAGAGTGTAGCATAGCACAGTACATTACAGTATAGTGTAGCATAGCATAGCACAGTACAGTATAGTGTAGCATAGCATAGCACTAGACTACTACAAGTTGTAGCTACAGGTTGTGCTTTTGTTTGTACAAACAAGAAAATTGCCCTCAAAGATGCTTTCACACCTCTTGATAAATGTTTATTATATAAATTCAGAACCAACATATGTCATGTTTATATATATATATATTTTTTTTTAATTCCAGTGGTTTAACACAAGTCACAGTATAGTACAGTATTTATTTATTCCCTAAACAAAGTGTCGCTGTCGGATGAAAAACTATTTTTGCCAGATACAGTGGGGGGGGGGAAGTATTTAGTCAGCCACTAGTTGTGCAAGTTCTCCGACTTAAAAAGATGAGAGAGGCCTGTAATTTTCATCATAGGTACACGTCAACTATGACAGACAAATTGAGATTTTTTTTTTCTCCAGAAAATCACATTGTAGGATTTTAATGAATTTATTTTCAAATTATGGTGGAAAATGAGTATTTGGTCACCTACAAACAAGCAATATTTCTGGCTCTCACAGACCTGTAACTTCTTTTTTAAGAGGCTCCTCTGTCCTCCACTCGTTACCTGTATTAATGGCACCTGTTTGAACTTGTTATCAGTATAAAAGACACCTGTCCACAACCTCAAACAGTCACACTCCAAACTCCACTATGGCCAAGACCAAAGAGCTGTCAAAGGACACCAGAAACAAAATTGTAGACCTGCACCAGGCTGGGAAGACTGAATCTGCAATAGGTAAGCAGCTTGGTTTGAAGAAATCAACTGTGGGAGAAATTATTAGGAAATGTAAGACATACAAGACCACTGATAATCTCCCTCGATCTGGGGCTCCACGCAAGATCTCACCCCGTGGGGTCAAAATGATCACAAGAACGGTGAGCAAAAATCCCAGAACAACACGGGGGGACCTAGTGAATGACCTGCAGAGAGCTGGGACCAAAGTAACAAAGCCTACCATCAGTAACACACTACGCCGCCAGGGACTCAAATCCTGCAGTGCCAGACGTGTCCCCCTGCTTAAGCCAGTACATGTCCAGGCCCGTCTGAAGTTTGCTAGAGTGCATTTGGATGATCCAGAAGAGGATTGGGAGAATGTCATATGGTCAGATGAAACCAAAATAGAACTTTTTGGTAAAAACTCAACTCGTCGTGTTTGGAGGACAAAGAATGCTGAGTTGCATCCAAAGAACACCATACCTACTGTGAAGCATGGGGGTGGAAACATCATGCTTTGGGGCTGTTTTTCTGCAAAGGGACCAGGACGACTGATCCGTGTAAAGGAAAGAATGAATGGGGCCATGTATCGTGAGATTTTGAGTGAAAACCTCCTTCCATCAGCAAGGGCATTGAAGATGAAACGTGGCTGGGTCTTTCAGCATGACAATGATCCCAAACACACCGCCCGGGCAACGAAGGAGTGGCTTCGTAAGAAGCATTTCAAGGTCCTGGAGTGGCCTAGCCAGTCTCCAGATCTCAACCCCATAGAAAATCTTTTGAGGGAGTTGAAAGTCTGTGTTGCCCAGCAACAGCCCCAAAACATCACTGCTCTAGAGGAGATCTGCATGGAGGAATGGGCCAAAATACCAGCAACAGTGTGTGAAAACCTTGTGAAGACTTACAGAAAACGTTTGACCTGTGTCATTGCCAACAAAGGGTATAAAACAAAGTATTGAGAAACTTTTGTTATTGACCAAATACTTATTTTCCACCATAACTTGCAAATAAATTTAAAAAAAATCCTACAATGTGATTTTCTGGATTTTTTTTCTCATTTTGTCTGTCATAGTTGACGTGTACCTATGATGAAAATTACAGGCCTCTCTCATCTTTTTAATTGGGAGAACTTGCACAACTGGTGGCTGACTAAATACTTTTTCCCCCCACTGTATTTTACATGTATTGAAAGCAGTAACTCCCCTCAATGTACTCTCTAAATATTTAATGACTGTAGGACCAAGAAATTTTATTCAAAATAGATTTTCTCAAGTTTTGTAATTGTTTGTTTGTTCATGGGTAAATATGGCAATTTTTTTCCATTTGCTGAAAAGCTTCTGTTTAGGAGATGTTTCCCTCCAAATCAAATCAAATCAAATTGTATTTGTCACATACATGTGTTTAGCAGATGTTATTGCGGGTGTAGCGAAATGCTTGTGCTACCAACAGCAACGATAGATTATCAGTAATTAGTCCAATGGGACGCAGAATAATGGCCAGAGCTTTAGTACTAGGCTGTATTTGGCTATTGATTCAAAGTGTCCTTTACTCAAACAGTACATGCTTCTGCAGCATTAGTATTTCCAAATTACAATTATATACAGATTACAATATAGTGATTTGGGGACAGAAAATAGAATCACATGAAAATAAATATACATTCCATAAAACATCCTCAATCCAGTATTGCTACAGTATTACAGGTGTCTTAAAGGGTCATAAAAAATGGCAGAGCAATAGCATCCGTGTGTTGGCCTCTAATGGTCTAGTAATCCTACTTAACTCAGTGGTACAGCTTTCTCCTCTCTGAGCCCAGCACCCTGGACGCTCCCTGAATGAAGAGAACATTTCATGTGATTTACATCAGGCCTATTGTACCCACCACAGAGACAATGACCGTACCTCACCACACCGGGACAAAACCCAAATCCCTTTAGATCGTTTTGGACACAGTCCTAGGTTGCATCTAATCAAAAGTAGTGTACTATACAGGGTATAGGGTACCCTTACTTTACCCCAGTCAGCGTTTGAACTTCAACTAGCCCACAGAACGGCTGTGAGGATTGGAACTGGTTTGAATATATACACACAGAACAACATTTCAATAAGTAAAATAGGTTATTATTATTATTATCCTTTGTACATAGAAGCAGCCCTCTAAAGTGAGGTTTGGTCAGTGTCATGCTTGAAGGAATGTACAGTGTTCTCGACTCTAATACGCTGTCATTGATTGGTAGACTGAAACAGGAAGTTGTTATTGATTGGTGGATTGAAACAGGAAGTAGGAAGTGGAACCTCCAATAAACAGTACCAGAGAGGGTGTATCATTGTATTGCTGATTATATATGCACACTATTCAGTCTAGTTCATACAGGTATAGGAGTATAGGAGTGCAGAGTTGTTTTGGAATTGGAACTGGAACTGGGCCCTCCACACCTTTCAAGTCTGTAAGAAGCCTGAGTATTCATCAAGGAGATAGGAAGAGGGGGCGAGTGTTTGGTTTGGAATGGGCCCTCCCTCTAGTGCCCACCCAGTCAAATCTCAGACGACTCTATCCTCTCTATCCAGGGAAGACCAGGGGGAGGTTTACTGTCCTCCTCTCCTCCTCCTCTTCCTCTCCTCACCTCCTGCACTTCCCTCTCCAGTGACTCGTTACTGTAGTCTCCCATCTCTCGTCCTCCTCCTTCTCCTCCTCTTCCTCCCCTCACATCTTGCAGTTCCCTCTCCAGCGTTCCTCCTCCTCCTCTCTCTCCTCCTCCTCCTCTTCCTCTGAGCTGGTATACTTCTCTCTCCAGTAGTTTGTTGTGGTGGTACATGTCCAGGTAGCTGGCCTGCAGCTCTCTCTGGTAGCGGATCACTTTCTCCTTCTCTGTCTGCCACGTCTGTCTCTCCTCCTCGAAGGCCGTAGCCTGGGCCTCGCTCTGACGACGCTCTAACAACAGCTCTGCTCGCAGACGCTCCTCTGTAGGGCCTGGAGATAAAGAGAGAGAGGGAGGGAGAGAGAGAGGGGGAGAGAGAGAGATAGAGAGACAGACGGTTTAATGATCTCCAATTAGCTTATTGGCCAACACAGTAACATTAATCTGACAGATATATAACTATCAAACATAACATAACATAACATAAAAAACAAGATAATAACAACATAAATCATTTAGCAGACGCTTTCATCCAAAGCCACTTACAGTCATGCATGCATACATTTTACGTACGGGTGGCCCCAGGAATCGAACACACAACCCTAGCGGTGCAAGCGCCATGCTCTACCAACTGAGCTACAGAGGACCACATATCTATTATACCTGATGCCCCTCCTGATCCTCGAGACTCTAGTGTCCCATTCTCCTCCGCTCCAACTTTCCCCTGTCGTCGTGGTTGCGCCCCCTGTAGGGCTGTCTGCAGCGCGTCTATCTGTCCATCATGGCTCTGCAGCTCTCCTCTGGACTCCCTCAGCTGGGTCTTCAGCTGGAACAGCTCTGACAGCTTGCAGGTCACCTCCGCCTGGGAGTCACGCAGCTGCTGCTTCAACAACGAGATCTCACCCGACTTCTGACACACCTGAAAGGTAGGGAGGGAGGGATGGGTGGTTAAAGAGGATGCTAAATAAACCTTGCTCTTCACCATTATCCCTCAGTCAATTCCTCCTCTCTCTCCACCTGTCCTCCTTCAATCTTAGTTCACAGACCCATCTCTATGCGCTTTTACCTTCACTTACCTACTTCTCTCCCTCCTCCTACCCCCTCACCTTCCCCACTCCCTCCTCCTACCCCCTCACCTTCCCCACTCCCTCCTCCTACCCCCTCACCTTCCCCACTCCCTCCTCCTACCCCCTCCCCTCCCCACTCCCCCTCCGCCCCCTACCCCCTACCATCCCCACTCCCTCCTCCTACCCCCCCCTCACCCCTTCCCCCACTCCCCTACCCCTCCTACCCCACCTCCCCACCCTTCCCCACCCCCTCCCTCCAACGCCCTCACATTCCCCCACTCCCTCCTCCACCTACCCCTCACCTTCCCACCTCCCTCCCCCTACCCCCCTCCACCCTCCCCACTTCCCACGCTTCCCTCCTCCACCCCTACCTTCCCCACCCTCCTCCTACCCCACCCCCTCACCTCGCTTCCTCCCACCCCCTCTCCTCCTACCTCCCCCCCTCACCTTCCCCACTCCCTCCTCCACCCCCCACTCCCTCCTCCTACCCCCTCACCTCCCCACTCCTCCTCCTACCCCCCACAACCTTCCCCACTCCCTCCTCCTACCACCCCCTCACTTCCCCACCCCCTCCCTCCTCCCCCCTCACCTTCCCCACCCTCCTCCTACCCCCCTACACCTTCCCCACTCCCTCTCCTACCCCCTCCTAACCCACTCCCTCCTCCTACCCCCTCACTTCCCCCCCTCCTCCTACCCCCCTCACCTTCCCCACCTCCCTCCTCCTACCCACCCCCTCACCTTCCCCACTCCCCCCTCATACCCCTACCCCCTCACTCCTCACTCCCCTCCTACCCACCCCCTCACCTTCCCCCACTCCCTCCTCCTACCCCCACCTTCCCCATCCCCCCTCTACCCCTCACTTCCCCCCTCCTCCTCTACCCCCTCACCTTCCCCACTCCCTCCTCCTACCCCCACCCCCACCTTCCCCACTTCCACTCCCTCCTCCTACCCTCCTCACCTTCCCCACCCCCACTCCTCCTGACCCCCTCCCTTCCCCATCCTCCTCCCCCCCCTACCTTCCCCACTCCCTCCTCCTCCCACCTCACCCCACGCCCTCCCCCAACCTCCCCCCCCACCGCCCGTCTCACCTTCCCACCCCGCACACCTTCCCCCTCCCCCACCCCACCCACTACCCCCACCCCACCTCACCTCCTCACTCCTCCTCTACCCCCTCACCTTCCACACTCCATCCTCCTTCCTCCCTCAACCTGTCCCCACTCCATCCCCCAACCCTCTCACCTGCCACCGAGTCTCCTCCAGAGTAGGACTGGTTCCCTTCAGACTCCCCTGACCCTCTCTCTGTCTATCCCCCCTCAGAGCACCAGTTCCTCCTGCATCTGTTCTTTCTCCTGCTGGCCTTGTACAGCTGCAGCTGCAGTGCAACGCTGGGAATGCTGAGCATGCTGGGAAAACCTGACGCAGCTTGGCGGCGTACAGATGCTTCAGCTCCTCCAACTCCTTCTCCCACAGATGCTGTTTACCTTCAAACACCTACAGGGAAGGAGGGAAGGGGGAGAGAGGGAGGGAGGTAGAGAGGGGAGGAGGCAGGGAGGGAGGTAGGAGGAGGGGGTCGAGAGGGGAGGAGGCAGGGATGAGGAGGGTGGGGGGAGAGAGGAGGGGGAGGGAGGGAGAAGGGAGAGGAGGAGGGAGGGGAGGAGGCAGGGAGGAGAGGTGGGGGAGAGAAGAGGGATGTAGGAGAGGAGACAGAAGGAGGAGGAGGAGGAGGAGGGAGGGTAGTGAGGGATGGGTGGGGGGAGAGAGGGGGGGGAGGGAGGGAGGTAGGGAGAGGAGGCAGGGAGGGAGGAGGGAGGGGAGGAGGCAGGGAGTGAGGGAGGGTGGGGGGAGAGAGAGGGAGGGAGGGAGGGAAAAAGAAAGAGAGAGTTATAGATGCACACCCACATGCCCACTCACACACACACACACACACACACACACACACACACACACACAATCAACACACACACACACACACACACACACACACACACACCACCACACACCACACACACACACACACACACACACACACACACACACACACACACACACACACACACACACACACACACACACACACACACACACACACACACACACACACAAGCTGGTCTACTCATCACCTGTGCGATGGCTCCTTCACTCTCATCCAGGTTCCTCCTCATCTGTTTCAGCTCGTGTTCCTTCTCCACCAGCCTCTCCTCCAGATCACGCACCTGGAAAATCAATCAATCAATCAATCAATCAATCAATCAATCAAACAACCAACCAGACAATCATTCAACCAACCAACCAACCAAACATCTATCAATCAGTCATTCCAATGAAATCAACCAATGAAATCAACGAATCAATCAACCAACTGATCCATCCATCCATCCATCACTCACCACCTCCTCTACGGAGAGCGACAGTTCGTAAGGGGGCGGAGCCTCCCCTCCGTATGGCGCCAGACGGCTGAGCGTTGCCATGCTACGACACGACATGGCCATCTCCGCCATGGCGACCCCCGACGACCCCGCAACCTTTGATGCTCGGTCCAGAGAGCCAATGGTGTTGATGTGGCCCATGGAGGCACTGAGGGTGATAAGAGACATACATCTTCATCATCATCATCATCGTCATCACTATCCTCCTCCTCATCATCACTGATCTACACAGAAACAGACAGACACAGAGCGAGAAAGACAGAGAAACAGGAGTGTACCTGATGTGAGCCAGGTGTGGTCTGAAGGGAGATCTGTATGGAGGAAGACTGTTCATAGAGTTATGACCAGAGTCTGACAGGTTCTCATCCTCCTGACTCAGACCACGCACTGACGCCACCACCTGCATCACAACATTAATACCAACTGTTATCTTATCTAATCATCATCACTATCATCATCGTTGTCATCATAAAAATCCACATACCATTAATATGAACTATTATCCTAATCATCATCATAATAACCATAGTACACTTGATTGTATATATAAAGTCCCTTTCAGATGTTTTAAAAGAACACTAGTGATACATACATTGCAGATGTTTCAGGACAAGACAGAAATCACCAGACTAAAACAGTGGAATGTGTTGGGGGCACCTTGGTTCCGCTGGAGGTGGGTCCTCCGTGGCGGGAGGGTGAGGAGGAGGAAGAGGAGGTGGAGCCAGCTCTAGGTGTGTGTGCATAGGCCCGGTGGAGACCGTTGGACAGGTTCTGGTCTGAGTCCTCCATCTTGGAAGGGTAGAGGTTCTGCATCGAACTGAAGTTCTTAGGTGTGATGGGCTGGAAGGCAGACGGCCTGAGACGAGACTAGAGGGAGAGAGAGTAGAAGAGTTAGTACCTGAAACTGTCAGGGTGAAGAGAGAGAGAGAGCGATGCAAGGAAGACAGACAGGGAGATAGGTATAGAGAGAGGTATAGAGAGAAGTAGAGAGAGAGGTAGAGAGAGAGGTATAGAGAGAGGTAGAGAGAGAGGTATAGAGAAAGGTATAGAGGAGAGAGGTAGAGAGAGAGATAGAGAGAGTAGAGAGGTATAGAGAGAGTATAGAGAGAGGTATAGAGAGAGGTATAGAGAGAGGTATAGAGAGAGGTAGAGAGAGAGTAGAGAGAGAGGTAGAGAGAGGTATAGAGAGAGGTATAGAGAGAGGTATAGAGAGGGTAGAGAGAGAGTCGGTATAGAGAAGATGTATAGGAGTATCGCGAGGTAGAGACGAGGGAGAGCGCGGTGGAGGTAAGAGAGAGGTCATAGGTTAGCTCTCTATTTCGATAGGAGACGGGTCGCTGCCTATCGTCGCGAGAGCGTCTTTCGCTACGACGGTCGCGCGCGGTCGGCAGGCGGTCTCGCGATCTCGCTTTCGCGGGGTGTCAGGCGGCTCGCGTCGCGGCGCTTCGCGCGGTCGCTCGCGGTCGCTGCTCGCGGTTCCTCGCGTTCCTCTCCTGGGTCGCTCGCGGGGCGCGCGGTATCGCCGCGGTATCGCGCGCTCTCGCGCGCTCGCGCGCCTCTCGCGCCGTTTTCTCCCCTCGTCGCGCGCGTCGCGGCGGCCCCGCGCGCGTCTCCGCGCCGTTCCGCCGGGTCGCGCGCGCGGTCGCGCCGGTCTCGCGCGGTCTCCGCCGGGCCCGCGGTCCTCGCGCCGGTCCGCGCGCGTCTCGCGCCGCGGTCTTGCGCGGTCGCCCCGCCTGTCGCGCGCGCGGTCGCCGCGTCGTTCTACGCGGGGCGGTCGCCGCGCTGTCTCGCCGCGGTTTCCCCTCGCTGCGTCGCGCGCGCGGTCCTCGCTGTCGCGCCGCGCTTTGCCCGGTCTCGCGCCGTTCGCGCGGTCTCGCCGCGTCCCGCGCGGTCCCCGCGGCGGTCCGCGCCGTCTCCCGCGGTCGCGCGCTCTCCGCTGCGTTTTCTCGCCGGTCGCGCCGCGGTCGCGCGCGCGCGGTCCTCCGCGCGGTCGCCGCGCGCGGTCTCGCGCCGGTCTGCGCGCGGTCCGCGCTCGGTTCTCGCGCGCGGTCTCGCCCGTTCGCGCCGGTCCGCGGTCTGCCCGCGGTCCGCGCGCGGTTTCCGCGCGCGGTCTTCGCGGCGGTCTCCCGCGCGGTCCGCGCGCGGTCTCGCGCGCGTCGCCCGCGTCTCCGCCCGGTCGCCGCTTCCGCGCCGGTCCCCGCGCGCGGTCGCGCGCGGTTCCGCGCGTCTCGCTCGCGGTCTCGCGCGTCGCCCCGCGGTCTCCGCGCGGTCCGCCCGGTCTGCCGCGGTCTCCGCGTTCCGCGGTTCGCGCCGGTCGCGCGCGCGGTTCCCCGCGCGGTCCTCGCGCCGGTCTCGCGCGCGGTCGCGCGCGCGGTCCGCGCGCGGTTCGCCGCGGTCGCGCGCGCCCCTTCGCGGTCTCGCGCGCTCTCGCGCCTTTCGCCGTCTCCGCGCGGTCTTCGCGGTTCTCGCGCGGTCTCGCGCGCCCGTCCGCGCGGTCTCGCGGCGGTCTCGCGGCGCGCGCTTTGCGCGGTCTCGCCGGGGTCGCGCGCTGTCTCGCCGGTCGCGCCGGTCTCCGCGCGGCCGCGCGCGGTCTCGCGCGGTCCGCCGCGGTTCGCGCCCCGGTCTCGGCGTCCGCGCGCGGTCTCGCGCCGGCCCCCCCCTTCTGGCTCCGTTTCGCGGTCCCTCGGTCTCGCGCGTCCCGCCCGGTCCCCCGGTCCGCGCGCGTTCTCAGCCTGTCCTCGCGGTTCGCCGGTCTCGCGCGCGGTCCGCTTCTCGCGCGGTCCGCGCGCGGTCCGCGCGTCTCTCGCGGGTCCGCTCGCGGTCCGCGCTCGGTCTCCCGCGGTGGCGCGTTTCGCCCGGCTCGCGCCGCGGTCTCCGCTTCCTCGCGCGGTCTCGCGCGGTTTGCGCGCGGTCTCGCGCGCGTGCCCGCCCGGTCCCGCCGGTCTCCGCGCGTCGCGCGCTGTTCCGCCGGTCCCTCGCGGTCTCGCGTCGTCCCGCGCGGTCTCGCGCGCGGTCCGCGCGCGGTCTCGCGGCGGCGCGGCGGTCCCTCGCGCGGCTGTCGCGCGTCGCGCGCGGCTGCGCGCGTTCGCGCGCGGTCTCGCGCGGTCTCGACGCCCGGTCTCGCGCGCGGCCCGCGTCTCGGCGGGTCTTCGCGCGGTCGCGCGCGGTTTGCGCCAGCGCCCGGTCTCGCGCGCGGTCTCGCGGCTCGCCGGTTTTCGCGGGCCGCGCGGTCTCCGGCGGGCGCCCGTCCTCGGCGCGCCCGCCCCGGTCTCGCGCGCGGTCCGCGCCGTTTTCTCGCGCGCGGTCTCCCGGTTTCCCCGCGTCTCGTCTCGCGCGCCGCCCGGGTTTTCCCCGCGGTCGCCGCGGCGTTCTCGCGCGCGGCCGCGGGTCTCGCCGGGCCCGCGCGGTCTCCCGCGCCCAGGCCTCTCGCCGGTCTCTCCGCGCGCGGCCCCCGGTCTCGCGCGCGGGCTCGCCCGCCCGCCCGTCTCGCGCGCGGTCCGCGCGCGTTCCCCGCGCGGCGCGCGGTCTCGGCGCGCCTCGCGGCTCTGCTCCGCGGCTCCCGCCGTCGCGCGCGGGTCTCGCGCGGCGTGCCCGCCCGGTCGCGCGCGCGGTCTCGCGCGGGCGTGCCGCCTGTCGCGCGCGCGGTCCTCGCGCGGGCGTGCCCGCCCGGTAGCGCGCGCGGTCTCGCGCGGGCGTGCCCGCCCGGTCGCGCGCGCGTCTCGCGCGGGCGTGGGGTCGCGCAGAGGTATAGAGGGTCTCGGTCCGCGCCGGTCCCCCGCGGTTCTCCGCCGTCTCGCGCGCGGTCCGCGCGGCGTGCCCCCCGGTCGCTCTCTCGGCGCGGGCGTGCCCTCCGGTCGGGGGAGACTGGCGGGTCCGCGGGGGAGTGGAGCGGTAGAGCGGGGGCTTGGCCGTAGAGAGAGGTAGAGAGAGAGGTAGAGAGGGGAGATGGCGTGCTAGAGTAGTGGTGTATTCAGGCCAAGCTCTATAAATCACTATTACTCACAATGTTTCTATTAAATGAACTGGTTTTTTTTTTCATGTTGTTTCTCAGGCCTGATGTTATACATCCAGCCTGGATGATATAAATTCCCCCTACAGCACTACTCAATCTTTACAAGGAGAGCTGGTGGGACTGTGTGTGTGATTTACACCAGATACAGACTGAAGGGAGAGGCGTTGTTATCTTATTGATACATGTTCCTGATAAATGACTAATGTAGGCCAATTTAAAACATCACCTCTAGCTTAGCCAGGTAATAACTGGTAGCATTTAATTATGTCTCCTACACACGCCGCACACATCGCACACAGCACACACAGTCACCACTGGGATGTCATTCATCTAGTGCTGCCAGTGACTCAGTGATACAGGCCAATTCTTCAAACTATAGCTAGCTGTAGGGAGTAGGAAGCCAGGGTGATCTGTCAGAGAGATGTTGGCTTTTGAGTATTAAAGGATGTTCTCTGTCAGAGAGATGTTGGCTTTAGAGTATTAAAGGATGTTCTCTGTCAGAGAGAGATGTTGGCTTTAGAGCATTAAGGATGTTCTCTGTCAGAGAGATGTTGACTTTAGAGTATTAAGGACGTTCTCGGTCTGGACGACTTTGAAGGAGCCAATGTCAAAGTGTGTTTTTGTTGCTAAAATATATGTTGTCCCAGGAATATCATCCCCATATGTTGTCCCAGGAATATCACCCCTATATGTTGTCCCAGGAATATCACCCCTATATGTTGTCCCAGGAATATCACCCCTATATGTTGTCCCAGGAATATCACCCCTATATGTTGTCCCAGGAATATCATTCCTATACAGTGAGGAAAAAAAGTATTTAGTCAGCCACCAATTGTGCAAGTTCTCCCACTTAAAAAGATGAGAGAGGCCTGTAATTTTCATCATAGGTACACGTCAACTATGACAGACAAAATGAGAAAGAAAATCCAGAAAATCTTTTTTAATGAATTTATTTGCAAACGATTGTGGAAAATACGTATTTGGTCAATAACAAAAGTTTCTCAATACTTTGTTATATACCCTTTGTTGGCAATGACACAGGTCAAACGTTTTCTGTAAGTCTTCACAAGGTTTTCACACACTGTTGCTGGTATTTTGGCCCATTCCTCCATGCAGATCTCCTCTAGAGCAGTGATGTTTTGGGGCTGTCGCTGGGCAACACGGACTTTCAACTCCCTCCAAAGATTTTCTATGGGGTTGAGATCTGGAGACTGGCTAGGCCACTCCAGGACCTTGAAATGCTTCTTACGAAGCCACTCCTTCGTTGCCCGGGCGGTGTGTTTGGGATCATTGTCATGCTGAAAGACCCAGCCACGTTTCATCTTCAATGCCCTTGCTGATGGAAGGAGGTTTTCACTCAAAATCTCACGATACATGGCCCCATTCATTCTTTCCTTTACACGGATCAGTCGTCCTGGTCCCTTTGCAGAAAAACTGCCCCAAAGCATGATGTTTCCACCCCCATGCTTCACAGTAGGTATGGTGTTCTTTGGATGCAACTCAGCATTCTTTGTCCTCCAAACACAACGAGTTGAGTTTTTACCAAAAAGTTCTATTTTGGTTTCATCTGACCATATGACATTCTCCCAATCCTCTTCTGGATCATCCAAATGCACTCTAGCAAACTTCAGACGGGCCTGGACATGTACTGGCTTAAGCAGGGGGACACGTCTGGCACTGCAGGATTTGAGTCCCTGGCGGCGTAGTGTGTTACTGATGGTAGGCTTTGTTACTTTGGTCCCAGCTCTCTGCAGGTCATTCACTAGGTCCCCCCGTGTGGTTCTGGGATTTTGCTCACCGTTCTTGTGATCATTTTGACCCCACGGGGTGAGATCTTGCGTGGAGCCCCAGATCGAGGGAGATTATCAGTGGTCTTGTATGTCTTCCATTTCCTAATAATTGCTCCCACAGTTGATTTCTTCAAACCAAGCTGCTTACCTATTGCAGATTCAGTCTTCCCAGCCTGGTGCAGGTCTACAATTTTGTTTCTGGTGTCCTTTGACAGCTCTTTGGTCTTGGCCATAGTGGAGTTTGGAGTGTGACTGTTTGAGGTTGTGGACAGGTGTCTTTTATACTGATAACAAGTTCAAACAGGTGCCATTAATACAGGTAACGAGTGGAGGACAGAGGAGCCTCTTAAAGAAGAAGTTACAGGTCTGTGAGAGCCAGAAATCTTGCTTGTTTGTAGGTGACCAAATACTTATTTTCCACCATCATTTGCAAATAAATTCATTAAAAATCCTACAATGTGATTTTCTGGATTTTTTTTCTCAATTTGTCTGTCATAGTTGACGTGTACCTATGATGAAAATTACAGGCCTCTCTCATCTTTTTAAGTGGGAGAACTTTCACAATTGGTGGCTGACTAAATAATTTTTTCCCCCACTGTATGTTGTCCCAGGAATATCATCCCTATAAATTGTCCCAGGAATATCATCCCTATATGTTGTCCCAGGAATATCATCTCTATATGTTGTCCCAGGAATATCATCCCTATATGTTGTCCCAGGAATATCATCCCTATTTGTTGTCCCAGGAATATGATCCCCATATGTTGTCCCAGGAATATCACCCCCATATGTTGTCCCAGGAATATCATCCCTATATGTTGTCCCAGGAATATCACCCCTATATGTTGTCCCAGGACTATGATCCCCATATGTTGTCCCAGGAATATCATCCCTATAAGTTGTCCCAGGAATATCATCCCTATATGTTGTCCCAGGAATATCATCCCTATATGTTGTCCCAGGAATATCATCCCTATAAGTTGTCCCAGGAATATCACCCCTATATGTTGTCCCAGGAATATCATCCCTATATGTTGTCCCAGGAATATCATCCCTATATATTGTCCCAGGAATATGATCCCCATATGTTGTCCCAGGAATATCATCCCTATAAGTTGTCCCAGGAATATCATCCCTATATGTTGTCCCAGGAATATCATCCCTATATGTTGTCCCAGGAATATCATCCCTATATGTTGTCCCAGGAATATGATCCCTATATGTTGTCCCCGGAATATCATCCCTATATGTTGTCCCAGGAATATCATCCCTATATATTGTCCCAGGAATATCATCCCTATATGTTGTCCCAGGAATATCATCCCTATATGTTGTCCCAGGAATATGATCCCCATATGTTGTCCCAGGAATATCATCCCCATATGTTGTCCCCGGAATATCATGCCCATATGTTGTCCCAGGAATATCATTCCTATATGTTGTCCCAGGAATATCACCCCTATATGTTGTCCCAGGGATATCATCTCTATATGTTGTCCCAGGGATATCATCTCTATATGTTGTCCCAGGGATATCACCCCTATATGTTGTCCCAGGGATATCATCTCTATATGTTGTCCCAGGGATATCACCCCTATATGTTGTCCCAGGGATATCATCTCTATATGTTGTCCCAGGGATATCATCCCTATATGTTGTCCCAGGGATATCACCCCTATATGTTGTCCCAGGGATATCATCTCTATATGTTGTCCCAGGGATATCATCCCTATATGTTGTCCCAGGGATATCATCTCTATATGTTGTCCCAGGGATATCATCTCTATATGTTGTCCCAGGGATAGCACCCCTATATGTTGTCCCAGGGATATCATCTCTATATGTTGTCCCAGGGATATCATCCCTATATGTTGTCCCAGGGATATCATCTCTATATGTTGTCCCAGGGATATCACCCCTATATGTTGTCCCAGGGATATCATCTCTATATGTTGTCCCAGGGATATCATCCCTATATGTTGTCCCATGACCAGGCATTCTTCTCACCTTCTCATATTTCCCTCTAATGGGCAGTGAGTTCTTTGACACGTCCACCTCAGTTCCGTCTTTGTGGTAGAGCTTGATGTGTTCCTCCTCATGTCCATGCTCTCTATTAATGGACTGCATGCTGGAGAAGATGTCCTTCCTACTGCTTCCTGGGCCGCTATCCGCTTTAACATCTTTCCTGGTGGGGATCGTTATAAAGGTTTTCATTCAGGCTTCAAGTCAATTGATAACCAATCATGTCAATTGATAACCTGTTCCCCTGAGTGATAACAGCTTGTTATGAAAATTATTTATATTTATATTTGAGTTTGCAAGAAAGGTATTTCACTGTACTTGTGCATGTGATATTAAAACTTGAAACGTATGAAAATGATTTCTATTTCATCTAGCTACAACTTTACATTGTAATAGCCTACTTATAGAGAGAGGTATAGAGTCACACCTCCTACCAGCTCACTATGTGTGGCACCCACCTGGCAGTAGCACTAACAACACTGCTATGAACTCACACGTGAGGTTATTCCCCAAGAGCATCATTAATGCCCTCTATTTGAAACAGACAACTCTTTACCGCTTGTCTGCACTTTATGGAATACATAGAGAACACATACTCTCTACTGTAGCACCCATCTGGGTGATGAAACATGGCAGCCATTTTGTGCCTATCAGAGAGCTCACTAACCTGGTGATGTTGATGAAACACAACAGCCATTTTGTGCCTATCAGGAGTTCACTAACCTGGTGATGTTGATGAAACACGGCAGCCATTCTGTGCCTGTCAGGAGTTCACTAACCTGGTGATGTTGATGAAACACGGCAGCCATTCTGTGCCTATCAGAGAGCTCACTAACCTGGTGATGTTGATGAAACACAGCAGCCATTTTGTGCCTATCAGGAGTTCACTAACCTGGTGATGTAGATGAAACACGACAGCCATTTTGTGCCTATCAGGAGTTCACTAACCTGGTGATGTTGAGGTAGTTGAGCAGCTCTCTCTGGTTGAAGCTTTTCTTTAATAACCTGTTGGTCTGCCTGGGTCCCACCTGGGGCACGGCCCGGCTGCCTTTAGCTGGGGATGCGTCCGGGCGTTCAACTAGGCTGCCTACACTACCCATACTGCACCGGTCCAGTAGGGCTGTGGGCCGGGTAGGGGTTGAGTACGGATCACGGAATGTCTTGCTGGGGTCGCGGGTCAGAGGAAGGGTCTGGACCGACGTTGCCATTGGTTACAGGACAGGGTGGCCCCGCGGGGAACTCTTGAGGTAGAGGAAGAGAGGAAAGAAGACAGGAAGAAAGAGATTGAGAAACAGACACACAGGGAATGGACATAAACAAACTGTCATCTGATTCAGAACCCTGTAAAATATCATCTTTGGCATCATGAACCATAATCACCATGATAACCTCCTATTCACCTTCTAACTGTACTCTGTAATATATTATCTCTTTGGCATCATGAAACATCATATCCAAGACCAAGTCCACGCTTTATTTGGTTGTTTACAGTATGTCTTCAGCTGTCTGTCTCTCGTCTGTCTTCCTCTGTTCATCTGATCACTTAACTCCTTATCTCTAGTGGTTAATAAACCATAATAACTATTATCACAGTGCTTTACTAGGTTGTCCCGTTCCCTCAGTCTTCCTCAATATTTCTCCCTTGCCTTCACCCTAGTCGCTAGTCTGTTGTTGATGTGAATTCCAGCCATACCCCTCCTGTCTTTTTCCCTCTCTGGCTTCAGATCTCCTCTCTCAGAGCGTGACTTGACATGTGCCTCCTCTGTAATCAGCTGTGTGTGTGTGTGTGTGTGTGTGTGTGTGTGTGTGTGTGTGTGTGTGTGTGTGTGTGTGTGTGTGTGTGTCCCGAGGCAGTTTTGTGAAGTCAGTGACTCACCTAAAGCCTTTAGAATAAACACATTTTTAGTTGAGCCACCTAAGCTGTGATCTAGTAGTAATAAGTGAGTCCCATAGTGCTCAGCCACACAGCACAACAACCGTATGGTTCATCCACGCTCAACTACTAGCTCATCATAGAGCGACGCTAAAAATAACCAAAACACTTTCCTACAGTTATTAAGACTTCAAAATCCCAAATAATGCATGTGCCTCCTGCCAAAGATACCTCATGCATTATGAAATGATAATAATGAGATGTAAGCTAAAAGAGAAGATTACAAATGTAGAGTGTAGAGTGTGTGTGTGTTTGTGAGAGCCTCTTGGGGAAGAGGAGCAGGGAACATATGAACCATCAGAAGCCTGTTATGTAACTGTATGTGTGTGTGTGTGTGTGTGTGTGTGTGTGTGTGTGTGTGTGTGTGTGTGTGTGTGTGTGTGTGTGTGTGGGTTCGCCCTCCGGGATGCTACTGACTACAGCTAATCCTAATTGTCTGATAAAGATGCAGAGTGCTTTGAATCAGGCAGCAGGGACGGACGAGGATATTCCTTTATAATCAGGGCAGTCCTGCTTTAGTTCCTATAGTATCTACTTGATTCATTATTCCCCTTCTGCTTTCTTTCAAATAGCATGATCAACTCAGTCAGTGCATCCTATTGACCACACCTTCTAATCTACAGCCAGTATAGCGTAACCTACTTTTACTATAGCATGCAGTGGTTATTCAGTGGTCATCATGATGACTCTACTGTATGTCATGCTTTAGTGAAATATGAGAGTGGAGAGAGAGAGAGAGAGAGAGAGAGAGAGAGAGAGAGAGAGAGAGAGAGAGAGAGAGACAGAGAGATAGAGACGAGAGAGAGAGCGAGAGAGAGAGAGAGAGAGAGATAGAGAAAGATGAGAGTAGAGAGAGAGAGAGAGAGAGAGAGAGAGAGAGAGGCGTGGATGGAGTTAGGAGAAGCTGTGAAATCTCCTCAGACTGAAACTATTAGAAAAGCCACCAGGTTTAGAATGTCAATACCGAAATAAGCTATGATCCAAGCCCTGTGCTCGTTGATGGAGTGTGTGTGTGTGTGTGTGTGTGTGTTCGCGTTACTGATGTCTACTGATTCAATAACTTGCGGGGTAGGTGGTAGGGTAAAAATCATTTTAGGCCTTGGCCACAAATCTTGTGTGGACTGGATAAATGTTCCATCCAGTTGGTTTCAGTAATTGGCTTCTACTTGATGGGCCTGGGCAAGCCAGGAGACACACGCTGATATAGGCCTCCCCAGACAGGGGCCTTGACACACACACTCATAATCTCTCTGTCTATCACAGACACACGCACACACGCACACACACACACACACACACACACACACACACACACACACACACACAAAGCTTTCAATTAACTTGAAAAGTTAATTGAAAGCTACAACTTTGATTTACAGTACCAGTCAAAAGTTTGGACACACCTACTCATGCAAGTTTTTTTTTTTTTTTTTTTTTTATTTTTTTACTATTTTCTACATTGTAGAATAATAGTGAAGACATCAAAACTATGAAATAACACATATGGAATCATGTAGTAACCAAAAAAGTGTTAGAGTCTTCAAAGTAGCCATCCATACCACCATGCTTTCCTCTGTTGGATGTCCACCATGATATAATAACACATGACTGACCCTCCTAAGTGTCTCTCTCTCTGTAAAAAGCATCCACTAAAACACTTATACAGCCACTTGAACTAGGGAACCCCCTATTAGCCAGGTCACTACTGCTGTGTGAGAGACAGAGAGGGGAAATTCCATAGATGCTTTACAAAACACAAGTTCAGGCTTGTTACCCTCAAAGCCTAGCTTACACATCCACTCAAAGCCTAGCTTACACGTCCACTCAAAGCCTAGCTTACACGTCCACTCAAAGCCTAGCTTACACATCCATTCAAAGCCTAGCTTACACATCCACTCAAAGCCTAGCTTACACATCCACTCAAAGCCTAGCTTACACATCCACTCAAAGCCTAGCTTATACATCCACTCAAAGCCTAGTTTATACATACACTCAAAGCCTAGCTTACACATCCACTCAAAGCTTACACATACACTCAAAGCCTAGCTTACACATCCACTCAAAGCCTAGCTTACACATCCACTCAAAGCCTAGCTTACACATCCACTCAAAGCCTAGCTTATACATCCACTCAAAGCCTAGCTTACACATCCACTCAAAGCCTAGCTTATACATCCACTCAAAGCCTAGCTACACATCCACTCAAAGCCTAGCTTACACATCCACTCAAAGCCTAGCTTACACATCCACTCAAAGCCTAGCTTACACATCCACTCAAAGCCTAGCTTATACATCCACTCAAAGCCTAGTTTATACATCCACTCAAAGCCTAGTTTATACATACACTCAAAGCCTAGCTTACACATCCACTCAAAGCTTACACATACACTCAAAGCCTAGCTTACACATCCACTCAAAGCCTAGCTTACACATCCACTCAAAGCCTAGCTTATACATACACTCAAAGCCTAGCTTACACATCCACTCAAAGCCTAGCTTATACATACACTCAAAGCCTAGCTTACACATCCACTCAAAGCCTAGCTTATACATACACTCAAAGCGAATATTTTCAGAACTCAAGTACCTTACTCTCTGATGCAGTAGAAGTGACCTGTCTCTGCTTTCATTTGGTCTGCCTCTCTCCCTTTCTCTCCCTTTCTCTCTCTTTCTCTCCCTTCTACAGTACACTGATCAAAGTTTGTTTACATTAGTGGGCATACTGTAGCATAGCCTGCTTTGTGGGTTACATCTAAAACACCCCCACACACGCTGATATGTAATACAAGTTGTGTAAGTCAAGGTAGAGCCGTATTGAGTTCGGCTGCTCTGATGGTTTATCTCTCTCTCTTTCTTTCTCTCCCACACACACAGGCACACGCTGCCAGCTTGCCTGCCGCGAGACAGTGACGGTTCACAGGGGTTTGACTCAGGAAGGCCAGAGGGCCACTCCTGATGCCAGCTGTCACTCACAACCTGGGGCAATTACATAATGTAGGTGCAATTAATGACAGTGAATGTCACATTAGAGGTGCACAGGGAATACTTCAGCTCTACAAAAAGGAGATGTTCCTCTTTATATATTTGGAAGTATAACTTTTTCTATTGTGGCAAAAGTGATGTCAGAGAACCTTGTTAGGCATAAGTGTAACAGAAATAGCTACTCTGCATCAGAGTTAGTCCCCTCAGATGTAAGATGGCCGACAGATGGTTGAGCAGTGTAGTGCTGGAGCCCAGGGAGGAAGGGAAGGAACCAAAGCAGACGTGAAACACAAAGCAGCGATACACCCTGAGTTAGACTGCTACCTGGTAGAGTGTAATGACTGAGTCTGTATACTGGCTGTATAGTGCTGCAGGGTACAGCAGGAGAGATCAGAACACAGCACTAACCCTCTAATCAGCAGGTTACTCATTATAGAGTAGATGGGATACAGAGACTGCATCCCAAATGCTGTATCCCAAATGGTACCCTATTCCCTAATAGCGCTCTAGTCAAAAGTAGTGCACTATATAGGGAATAGGGTGCAATTTGGGACACAGACAGACATACATATTGTCATAAATCATTCTTCCATTTACTGAATGTGAAGGATGACATCACAGTTTGGTATCTGTCTGCATCCTACTTGGTCATGTAATAAATAGCCTCTATTGTGTCAAATAGGACCCATAATTCTAAATGTGTAATTTTGTATTGCCAAAGCTATGTAAAATAGAACCCATAATTCTAAATGTGTAATATTGTATTCTCAAAGCTACAGTGGGGAGAACAAGTATTTGAGACACTGACGATTTTGCAGGTTTTCCTACATACAAAGCATGTAGAGGTCTGTTATTTTTATCATAGGTACACTTCAACTGTGAGAGACGGAATCTAAAACAGAAATCCAGAAAATCACATTGTATGATTTTTAAGTAATTAATTTGCATTTTATTGCATGACATAAGTATTTGATACATCAGAAAAGCAGAACTTAATATTTGGTACAGAAACCTTTGTTTGCAATTACAGAGATCATACGTTTCCTGTAGGTCTTGACCAGGTTTGCACACACTGCAGCAGAGATTTTGGCCCACTCCTCCATACAGACCTTCTCCAGATCCTTCAGGTTTCGGGGCTGTCGCTGGGCAATACGGACTTTCAGCTCCCTCCAAAGATTTTCTATTGGGTTCAGGTCTGGAGACTGGCTAGGCCACTCCAGGACCTTGAGATGCTTCTTACGGAGTCACTCCTTAGTTGCCCTGGCTGTGTGTTTCGGGTCGTTGTCATGCTGGAAGACCCAGCCACGACCCATCTTCAATGCTCTTACT